AAGTAGTTCCAGCGTTGACCGCTCGATAGCGCCGCTTACCCGCGCTAGAAAAAATCAGTCCGGGAACTTTCCGGACAAACTGTGTATATAAAATTGTTGTACGAGTTTCACAAATGTTCTATCTCTTATCACAAGTTTTTGACGTTTGCTAGTCAAAGAATCTGAAATCAAAAATAGCCAGCATTTGTTCGATTATCCGTTACATTCGATTTCAAAGCTGTTTACCAACACAAACATACATGTGTTTTTATATGAATAATGAATTTATAATGAGTTTTTATATGAATTATTTCTTTGTGAGGCAATCTGATGCATCAAATCTTGTGATTGCCGATCTTGATCTTGTCTGAATAGTGCTGACAAAAGAATTTAGTAGTTTTCACAATCGTGGCTGGACTTGTAACGAAAAAATAGATCCGTTATCCGGCCACTTGTATTTATTGCCCGGGAAAAAATGAAGAAATTTGCGCGTCAAGTTTACTTTGAGAAAACTCAAGCAGACGTTTGGAGTTCTGAAAGTATCCTGTGAACAGTTCACGAAATCTTTCGACAAAATAGCCGAGACAAGAGCATGCATCAAGATGAAAGAAATATTTGCTAGGTAAATTGAATTTCAAAGAAAAAAGAAGAGTTTTTAGAAGAATTTGAACCAAATAACCAAACCATTATAAAAATGTTATATAAAATGTTATATAAAATAAAAATTATCTTAAAAAACATTATAAACGTTGTACATCTTACTGTTTCTTGTATACATTAGGCATACAACAGACATAATTATGTCAGGTGCTTTTGGTATCAAAGTGAACTGCGTGGAAGAACCGAACAATGAAGTTCGATATTGGGGAAGAAGAATCTTTGAGTACAGTTCTATTTTGAATGGGGCAATTTTGTGTTTTGTTACCGTGCCGCGATCTCTGTCGCCGCTCAAGTTCTATCTTTACGATTTTATCTACTTTCTTCGTTGGCACATATGACCCGTCGAAATCCTAACTAATTGTTACCTGGACTCCACGGTCCCCTTCTGTTTGGAACCAGACATAAACTAGCTTTAAGATTTGCGCCTTAGAATTAATTTTTAAAATAACAATCCTTGAGCAGAGAACAAAGAACCTATTGAACTAAGATAAACAGACCCGTATCGCAATTTTTTATCTAATCACTCTTATCGACTTTCAAAAGAATACCGGTCAATTAATCAACAAGTAGCCCGGATGTTTGGTTCGCGAATATAAACTTAGATAATTTAGGCGGTCCGCTAATCTCTAGCAAGGAATGTTATGGGACCGAAAATAAACAGGAAATTGCACGTGCAGATAATAAAGTTAAACAAATGTTGGGTGAGTCAGAAAGAATGATTGTCGGTGATTGGTCCTCTCGCCTGATCGGATTAGCAAATGAAAGATCGAAATTTTAATCAGTAAAGAGTGGGAGAGTAAAATCTAAAGACGATTGGCAAAAATCAGAAGGATTAACACCCCGAGATCATCATATATAAGGCGTTGGAACATCGGAGAGCCGGAGCTCCATAACCAGCATTACGATTATTAACACAGTTCTATTTCTTCTCGTGCAATTCAACAATTTAACTTAGAGTCAATTCGATCATACGAAAAGATACTCGCTTTTCCTGTTCGGTCTGCAATTCGATAATCCAAACGATTCTTAATTTGACATCAATCTCGGCACGTAAATCCGAGTGAACAGTGCGACTCGTGACAACTTCCATCGGAGGAGACGACCAATTCATCCCCACCTGAGTCCAGCTGACAGACTCCTGACTTTTGAGCGAAGCGAATCAATCACTCATCTCGACATTCTAAACAATAAATAGTGAGTACTTACTAATGCAATAGTTTTGCAAAACAAATCTAAGGTTTCCACGCACACAGTAAAATCTTCTTCGAGACGGTTGATATTCGGAAGAAAGGATTAAATTCAACAATTCAATTAATAACTGCTTCATTTAGTAAGCTCTTCTCCTCGACATCCTAGCCGGACTAGCTGTTCACGACCTTGTGTCGTTCCGAACAACTGCCGATTTCCTTTCAGTCGAACTAGCTGTTCACGACCTTGTGTCGTTCCGAACAACTGCCGATGTCCTTTCAGTCGGACTAGCTGTTCACGACCTTGTGTCGTTCCGAACAACTGNCTACAAAACGCGTCTATTGTACTTGAGCTTTTTTTTTTATCTCTTCCCGTTTGCGACTTATTCGTAGTAAAATAGCTAAACTCTTAGAACTCTTCAATTTTCGTCGCAACGGTAAGAGAAGGAAACAAGTAGCATTGTGCTTTGAAATAGTGACTACATAACTTGTGTAATGTACTTGATCTCCTTTTCCTATCTCTTCCTGTGTGCGTCTTATTTGTAGTAAAATATCTAAAATCTTTGATTTCTTCAATTTTCGTCGCAACGGTAAGAGAAGAAAACAAGTAGCATAGTGCGTTAAAAAAGTGACTACATAACGCGTCTATTGTACTTGAGCTTCTTTTCTTATCTTTTGCCGTTTGCGACTTATTTGTAGTAAAATAGTGTTACGTCCTGGACTCCACGGTTCCCTTCTGTTTGGAACCAGACATTAACTAACTTTAAGATGTGCGTTTTAGAAGTAATTTTTATGTAACAATCCTTGAGCAGAGAACAGAGGACCTATTGAACTAAGATAAAATCCGTATCGCAATTTTTTTATTTAATCATTCTTGCCGACTTTCAAATGAGTATCGGTCAATTAATCAACTAGCAGCCCGGATGTTTAGTTCGCGAATATAAACTTAGATAATGTAGGCGGTCCGCTAATCTCTCGCAAGGAATGTTCGGGCATCGAAAGTGAACAGGAAGTTGCACGTGCAGATAACAAGTTTAAACAAATGTTGAGCGAGTCAGGAGGAATGATTGTCGATAATTGGTCCTCTCGCCTGATCGGATTAGCAAATGAAAAGATCGACATTTTAATCAGTAAAGAGTGGGAGAGTAAAATCTAAAGACGATTGGCAAAAATCAGAAGGGTTTACGCCCCGAGATCATCATATATAAGGCGTTGGAACATCAGAGAGCACACTCTCCAGCACTCCAGAACGCTCTCCAGAACGCACTCCGAACTTCATAACCAGCATTACNATTATTAACTCAGTTCTATTTCTTCTCGTGCGATTCAACAATTTAACTTAGAGTCAATTCGGTTATACAAAAAGATACTTGCTTTTTTTGTTCGGTCTGAAATTCGACAATCCAAACGATTCTTAATTTGATNTCGATCTCGGCACGTAAATCCGAGTGAACAGTGCGACTCGTGACAACTTCCATCANAGGAGACGACCAATTCATTCCACCTGAGTCCAGCCGACAGACTTCTGACTTTTGGGCGAAGCGAAGCAACCACTCATCTCGACATTCTACCGTAAACAATAAGTAGTGAGTACTCAGTAACGCAATAGTTTGCAAAACAAACCTTCTTCG